TTCACTTACACTACTTTGCAAACCAGCCAAAGCCTCTGGGAGGCTGAATTAGTTACAAAATTCCTGTTTCGGCTTGTTCTGGGCTGCACTGTGGCCCCACACAATTCCCGTGTTGGAGTCCTCATCCCCCGAGCCTCGGAATGTGACTATTTGGAGACAGGGTCTTTACAGAGGTGATCAGGTTAAGCTGATGTCGTTAGGGTGGGCCCTAATCCAATACGACTGGTGTCCTTATGAAATTAGGACACAGACACGCAGAGAGGGACAAGCCTCTGAAGACACAGGAAGGAGACAGCCATCTCTCAGCCACAGACCGCGGCCTGGGGACAGATTCTCCCTCACGGCCTCACAAGAGCCCTGCCCTGCTGACACCTGATTTCCGAAGGCTGCCTTCCAGAACTGTGAGACCGCGAATTTCTGCTGGTTACGCCACCCAGCAGCCGAAGCAGACTAACGCAGGCCTTCAAACCGTGTGTCAATGACAATAGCTTGGAAGCCAATACACGTTGGGACCCAAAGGGCTGGTCACCTTCATCGCCTTTTCTGACCAGAACTGGAGATGTCACAGTCCTAAGTAAAATGCCGTTCCTAGGCCTCGTACTTCGGAAGACGTTCTGAAGAAGGTGGTATTTGTGTGTGTGCACGTGTATGCGCACAATTCTCAGCGACACTCATGATGCACGGCGCCTGAAGTCCTGAGGTCGAGCTCAAGAGATGCACCGTCTCATCAGAGGGCCAATGTGCAGAGCCCGTTCCTTTTCTACCACATTCTGACACCTGCCATCTTCCATTACTCAAAGATCCCAGAGACTAACTCTGAGTCTAACTCTGAGACTAACTCTGAATCGCTTACCAGTTTGGAGTTCGAACACTAAGATCTGAGCATGTTTCAGTGCCGCCGTTCTCGCCGTTCTGCTGACGCCTGACCGGGTATCTGTTCTCGGCAGACACACACGGTTATCGCGCTGGCCGCAGGGAGCGGACCACTGCCCGGGGACAGCCAGCAGCTTAGGCGGCCCCCGGCTTGACTCTGCCCTTCCTGACCGGCTTCACGACCGGGGCTCGCTTTCCAGCGCCTTGGCACTCATTGCTAGAATCAGAACAAGACGTACTGGTTTCACGTGGCTGTGTGGAGCTATAGTTCCCTCCCTGTACAAAGACCGTCGGAAGAGGGGCACCGAGTCAGGTGAAGCGGACTCGGCGCTCGCTTAGCCGGCGGGGCCCGGCGAGGGGCGCCTGGCAGTTAGCCACGGTGGCTGCCTGCTGGCTTGCGTCGTGCAGCTGGCTCTGGGAAAGCAGAGGAGGAGTGAGGGACAGCTTTCCAAGAGCCGTCTGGTTCCCTGCCCCTGGCGACGTCTAACTAATTGCAAAGGAGACACTCAGGAGGTACGGTGATGAGAAAACAGAACGCTGAGTTACAGCCCCCCTCGAACGGCTTTTTGGGGACCCTTCTGCTCGAACAACTGCAAATAGAGGCTCTCTGTGCAGTCATTCAATGATCCCAGGCTCCAAACCCGGTGTATGAGCCAGGGAACTCCACCGCACTTCCCAGGCCAGGCCCCTCCAACATCAGTGCTAGTGAGCCTAGGCTTCCAGAGCCTGTTCTCGGAAATCTCCGCAAATGGGTCCACCCGTGGGGCTATCTACTAGGTGCAAACACAGCGCTCACACTGCAACTGACCAACATCTTACTGCTTCTGAATGTGGAAAATCCTAGCCTAGAGCTAGGGATCTTCTTCTTTTGGTTCAGTAAATGATAAAGGATATAAATAATGGCCCAAAGTTTTAACATTTTCACCAGTTCACTTTAAAAGTATGGGGATTTTTCATTCAATTGCAGAAAACCAAAAGAATTACCAAAAACGTCTCCATTAAGTCAAAAGAAGGATTTTAGTAATAGACAATAAACAGGCAAGGCAGGTGTGTCACGACCTCTGTATAGAATACAGCATACAAGCAACATATACGAATTTCATTTAAAACAACCACAATCCATAAAGCAGCACTGAAGAGATTGATAACATGGGCCAAACAGTCAGGTAAAGTCTCGTGAAGTGACTGAATTTATCATACCATGTGATAACCCCAAACTTTTTATTTTGTGCACGAAACTGTTAAGCAAATCTTTTGCTACTATTACCAATGAAACCTTTAAAAGATTTTACGATTTCTCTGAAGGGATAGAAAGAAAATCAACTTAGTGCATCCTCAATTCAGAAAGTTAAGCTGAGTAGTTATGCAAGAGGAAAACAAGGCTTTCTTAATTTTGTCGCTTAAGAAAAACGAATCCTAAAAAAGAAATACCAACAGATGGAGGAACTGAACTAGAAGAGAATGATTCTTTCTTTTAAACTAATTATTGGTTTGGTAGCCGTCCCAGTTCTCTTTGAATACCTAATCAGGTACTTTGATTCCTTTCCCAAAGCCTATTACCTTTAACTATGGAAATAATTTGGTAACTACAGTATGTGCACTGAACAATCTGCAGGCAGGGACTTCATAAGAGGAAATGCTCAGGTCCCTGAAACACTATTAGAATCCCTTTGCATACAGAATCTTGAAGCGTTATGACTTCATTACTCGTATTCTCACATTGCATTCTGGAGAGGTTATGTGTATCCCACACCAGTGTCTTTTGGGTGTTGAAGTCAGCGCAGAAAATGCAAAGAAACTGAACTGGTGTTTTCATAAGTCGCTGCGTTCTTCCCTTCGGTTTAGATCTTTCATACACTAGAATTTAGAACAGCTGATAATACAATATGCTTGGTGGAGGGCCCTGAGTTCAATTAAGTGAGATTCTGAAAATAATAAATAAAAATGTTGATAATTACTTTAAACACTGAAGTCTCTAGCTTGCAAACTGTGTGCAAGACTCTTAATTTGAATTATGCAGGAAAGGAATATAGACCCAAGGATCTGCTTATTTTAAGAGAAGTGCACAGGCACGCATTCAACTATTATGCATAATGTTAATTTAAACGTGGAAACCATTTAATTTACAAAGATATATCTCTTTTTAAGAAACTTCCTCATTTCCCACTTGAAATTTTTATTTTCCTACATCTTTCAAAATGTAGGCTGTGATCCAAGGGATGTCTAGGATCTCTTCCAAACCTAAAATGTCACGATTCTGTGGCCCTGTAAGGCAAAACGACATTCCTCGTCCCCTGGTCCCTAAACTCATCTCACTGTGGAGAACAAAAGAAGGTAAGAGACTATTCCAGAGAGTTCTGATTAGCAATGATTTAAGACACAGATAACAAAGGCATTTTGCAGAATATTCTTCCACATCATTTGTATAAATCCTGTTCAAAAAATAAAGTGACCCCCCCATTCCTGTGGTTCGTATTAAATGTCAGTATCTTACATCAGAGCCAGCATTGAACGGAAAGAATTCAGAATGAACCTCTCACGTTAAAGCATTAAAGCTCTCTCAGTTAAAGATGTCTTTCCAGAGCTGTCATATCCATCCTTTTCCTAACTCAAGAAATAAGTGGAACCTAAATCCCAGAAAAGATAGACTGGCAGGATAGTTACTTGGTAACAAAAGACTTCATTCTTGACCTAACTCCTCCACTGGAGTTAGGATGCTATTTGAGTGGAATCCCAGGGGCTCCACCTTCAGTGAACTTGGCAGAACAAGTACGATTTGAACAGTGTGAAAGACCCTGCAGTAAAAAGGACAGAGGCAGGTGACAGGGGACTGATGACTTCTGATACGCTGGCTGCAGAATGATCAAATCGAGAGGTCATTCAGGGTCTTCTAAACAAAACAACGATTCTCCATAAATCTACAATTGCCCATATAAAAATATGATTCTATTAGCTGTTTACTATTGATTTGGAGAAAATATCAACCAACTCAAGCACGATCAAGAGCACACAGTGTGGAAAGACAAAACCATCATGCCCCTTTCTGCAGCCAGGTGGGAACACATTTCAGAAGATCCATTCATTCTTTGCTCTCAGGTTCCCTGGATTTCTTTTGGCAAAGCTGCCCTCTGGTGCAATAGGCAAGAAGACTCAGGCATCCAGCTCCCACCCCCCTTCCTGGCCCGCATTTCACCACTTAGTTAAAAATCTTTAGTCCTGATAAAGGATTTAACTCCTGGAGGCATGAGGAAACCCAGGGAAGAAACAGATCTGAGAGAGACCGGGAGCAGAGGTGGTGGTTCTGGAAGGGGGCAGGTGCCAGGCATTTCCTTGACAGAGTCTGGCCTTGTCACTTAAGGAGCCACTGAAACCACACCTCTGCTTTTCCAGTGAAATTTCTGAAAGGCGCAATTTTCACCTTTGCCCTAGATGCCGCTCAGAAGGAGCCAGCAGAGCAGGGGAGCAGATTCACCAGCAGGCCAGGTCTCCGCAGAGCACCCCACCCGCACAGCACCCCTCTGAGATGTTGGGGAGGAGAGCTTCCTGTGTGTGTGTGTGTGCGCGCGCGCGGGGAGGGGAGTGATAAACTCCCTCGGGCATTCAGATCCTGAGGTACATGTAAAGTTGCACCCTCAGGAGATCATGGGGGTCCAAAATGCGGAGAAGTAGATGAGGGGCAAGGGTGGGTGGGAGGGGCGAGCAGAGGGGGAGATTAAGCGGGGCTGGGATGGAGGAAAGGGAGGGAGGAAGAGGAGATGGGGGAGATGGTGGAGGGCAAGGACTGGGGAGAAAAAGCTGGATGGGGAGCGGAGAAAGCCATAAAGGACAGAGGGTGCAGGGATGGGGCGCGAGGGAAGAAGGGAGGGGTCAGGCGCCCAGGAAACAGCGGAGAAAGGCAGCGGGGGGCGCGGGGGAAAGCCGGGCGGTAAGCGAACGGCCGCCTCGCCGAGCCGGGGAGCGCGGGCGACAAGCCGCGGAGCCCGAGACCCGGGGGGACTGCAGGGGCGGGAGGACCGCAGTCCGGGACGCGGGCCCAGGCGCCCGGCGCGTCGCCCCGTCGCCGCCGGCGCTGGAGGAGGCCGCCCGGCGCCCGCGCCCCGCCCTCCCCGCCGGCCCGCCCGCCTTACCTGGCCCTTGACCAGGCTGGCGGCGAACTGGCGCATGACGGCCTCCACGGTGTAGGCGCTGGACCAGCCGCGCGGCGTGAGCAGCTCCATGCAGATGGCGCCGCCGTCCAGCACGTAGCCGTTCTCCAGGCGCGGGCTGAGCACCCGCATGAAGGGCGGCGAGAAGGGGAAGTTGTCGGGGAAGGTGAGGTTGAGCAGGATGAACTCGGTGTTGGTCTCCTTCATGTCCTGCCACAGCACCGAGTCCTTGTCCACCTGGTGCAGCTTCACGTTCCAGTCGAAGAGGCTCTCGTCCACCAGCTCCACGGAGATGAAGCGGTCGCTGAGGCGCGCGATGTCCTGCAGCTCCTTCATGAGCCGCCGGCTGCGCACCTGCGTGCAGTGCTGCTGGCGCGCCGCGGGCACCAGGCTGCCGCCCCCCGCCGCCGCCGCCGCCGCCGCCGCCGCCGGCCCCGGCCCCGCCCTGGCGCCCGCCGCCCGCTCCCGGGGGCCCCCGGCGCCCGCCGCCCCCGCCGCGCCCGCGGCCGGCGGCGGCGGCTTGTCGCGCGGGGCCGGCTCCGCCGCGCGCTTGCCCTTGCCCTTGCCGGGCCCCGGGCTCGCGTCGCCCGCGCCGCCGGGGGGGTGCTGCTGGGGCTGCTTGTGGCCGCCGCTCTTGGCGCCGCCCTTGCCGCGCAGCGACGCGCTCTGCGGGCCGCCGCCGCCGCGGTGGTTGTGGTGGTGCTTGGGGTCCTCGGTGTCCCGGTTGTGCAGGCGGATGAGCCCGATTTTGCGGAGCAGCGTGGCCATTTTAGGCTCGGCGCCGGCGGGGCGCTCCCCTCGGCTCCTGCCCGCGGAGCCCGCCAGCCGGGGCGCGGGGGGCGCGGGGCGGCGGCGACGGACGAGCCCTCAGCGGGGCGCGGCGCGGGCCACCCCCGGCGCCGGCGGCCGTGGCGCAGCCGAGTGGGCAGCACGCGCGCTCGCCGGCCGCTGCTTCGCCGCTGTCATATGGCGGGGCCCGCTCCGGCTCGGGCTCCGGCCGCCTGGCGCGGGCCGGCGTGCAGCGGGCGCGGCGCGGCTGGCCGTGTCCCGGCCGGCCCCTGGGCGCAGCCCCCGGAGCCCGGGGTCCGCCGTCCTTTGTGCGCGGCCGCACGGGGCTGGCCTCGAGTCCGAGCGCCGCGGCGCGCAGAACCGCCCGCGGCGCCCCGGAGGCGGCGAGGTGGCCGCGGGCTCGCGCCGTGCGCGCCCGCCGTGCCGCGCTGGCGGCTACCGCGGGGCCCCAGCCGCTGCCGCTCGCGTCGCCGCCGCTGCGGCTGCTGACATTGCAGAGGGGGCCGCTCCGTCTGAGCCGAGCGCGGCGCGGAGGGGGCGGCCCTGCCGGCCGTGGCGCGGGGGGGTGGGGGGCGCGGGGCGGAGCCGCGGGCTTGCCTGCGCCGCGCCGCCCCCGCCGCCCGCCCGCCGCCCGGCTCCCGCGGCGACACGCCACGGCCGCTGGGGGGAGACAGCCGCGCGCGGCGGGCTGGCCGGGCGCCGGGCGCGGGGTAGCGGCGCGGCGCCGAGCGTTTCGCACCAGCGAGCCGAGGCCCGGGGGCTGCGGGAGCAGGGGCGCGCGCGCGCACTAACGGGCGTCGCAGGGGCTCAGGGTCCTTCGGCCCGGGATCCGGGCTCGCCACGGCCCCTGGCCCGAGCCTCCGACCTCCTTTAACCTCGTTAGAGCAACCCGGAGGGGAAGGGGTGTCGGGAAAGGGTAGAAAGCAACCTGTTTATGGATTCCCTGGGACCAGATGGAGCTCAGTATCCCACACAGCAGTCCTGGGCCGGCGCAGGCCCAAGACTAGGGGACAAGCAGCGGGGACGCTTTCATAAAGACCCATCCAGTAATCAGGGCCTGGCGGGGAGGATGCGGGAAGCGCGCCCGCTGCAAACCCCCTAAAGAATAGCCCTCTCGAGTCATGACTTTAAGGGGTGAACGTTACGCGAATTCACCCCCTCCAGCCTGGCTCCCCTCCTGCCCCACACGCCAGGGGGTCCCTGCGTTCAGAAAAGGGGAGGAGAGGCCCGCTGAGCATTGCCTTTTGGGTCTTTCCCCAAACTGCCGGAAACAGGGAAATGCATCCAGCGCTGGCGCCAGCGAGTGCTCAAGGCGCAGGGCGGGCCCCTCTGCGCCCCCCGCCCCGGAGTCCCCGGCACCCGTGGCTAACCCTGGGATCGCCCGCGGTAGGGAAGGGGATCGATCCTCCTCCGACCTGGAGGCTTGCACCCCTCTTCTCCCTTTCTGCCTTTAACCCATTGAAACTTATTTTTATCTGGTGAAATTTCAAGCAAAAAGCTTGTTCAGTGCTCCAGACGCTGGGACGACCCGAAGACCAGTGAAGCTCAGAGGTTTGCAGGAAGCGCGCTACCACTCAAGTTCCAGTGTGCGTGGCCAAACTGCGCAATGGTGAGAGGCGTGTCCATCTCCTTGAAATACTGGAGAAATTACCCCATAAACCTCAATGGCTAAAAACTATAAACTTCACCGCTCTCCCAGACTTAAGCCTCTGAGTTCATCAGCAGAGCGTGTTTATTCAGGTGCCACCACGGTTTTTTTTTTTTTAAAGCCTCTTTATCATTTTCAATTTTTCCAAATTATTAAATATTTTCACCGCGAAAAATAACTCTTCAGGTCACTGCGGAGACTAGTAGAGACCGAATGGGTCTGGAGCTTAGTTTTCTGGGGTTGCCTACAGGGAAAAAGAGGTGTTAGCCTAATCCTCACCAGCTTGGGGCAGTGAGCTAGGTGCCTGCACCCTGAGGCAAGGTCCCCTGGAGAGAGGACTGTATACAAAGGTACATATCCTGGAGGCTGTGTTCAGGTGGGCAGGACTCAGAGCAGTTCAGGGGTCCAGGCAGGACCAGTGGGGGTGACCTAGTCTCAGCTGCAACTGACTGAAGGTCTCCTTGTCTGGGTCTCGTGGGCTTTTCTGGTGACCTCATTTTGTCCAGCTCTGTTTTGTAAGGATAGGTTGAGAAGGAAGATGATGATGTCTGTCTGTAAAGTACTGTGAGTTCATTTAATCTGCAAGAAGAGGGGTATGCGGTGGGTGGTGACATTGGGAGGTATGGGCAGGCATTACACGTTTTCTCATTTTATGGCCTCAGAAGCCCTCTCGAGTTTTGTGTGACCCATTGTACTGAGGAAGAAACTGAGTTCCAAAGATGCTCAACAACTGGCCCAGCTCAGCCTTGTGCTGCGACCTACACCCTGGTCCCCTCCCTGCCTCCCAGCCTTGTAGTCTGGGTTGACCAGCTGTCCCTGACAGCACAGTGCACAGCCAGGACTCTGACTGGGTGGGGTATCAACATCAGCCCCTGGCAGGTGAGAAAACCCCCACCAGAATGACTGTGACAGTCATTGCCATAGTCAGCTGAACTTGGGTGAGGGAGGCCTCAGGGAAACATTTGTGGCAGCGACAGTGATCATTTCTACCTGAAGCAGGGAGGTCATCCAGTGTGATTTGGGAATGGTGTAGCCAAAATCCCAGGTAGCTATCATAAAACCTTTATGTTTGAATGGGATTATTACTAGGGTGGTCACATAATTTATTATCTGAATGCAGATACTTTTTGAGAGTGAAATGCTGGCCAAAGCGGGACTGACCAACACCCAAGATGGTAGTCATCTTACTTAGTATCTATCCATCATACTTATAGCATCTCCGATCAGCTCTTGAAAGGGCTAAAGCCAAATGTTAGTGAAAAAAAAGGAAAAAAACCCTAGATTTATAACAAGAGGGGAAGCGGTAAGTAAATTATACCTAATCCACTTGAGGATGTATTATGCAGCAATAACATTATAGTTATGAGGATTATATAACAAAATGAAAATATTTATGATCTACATAATAATTTTAAGTGAGAAAGCAGAGCAAAATTATATCCACACTGTAGCTACAACAACATAAAACTATGCATAGGACAAAAGAGGAGTTGGAGAAAAATTTACATAGTAACAATTATGAGGGATCCGAACATTTGCTTCAGAGTCAGCATGGTAGGGAGATGCAGGGGTGGGAGGAGGACTGGTATGGTTTGTAAACCTCCCTCATTCTTTCATCCCAGAAGATTCTAGAAAGTTCTACCTCCCAGCAATGTGTAGAAGTTACCTTTTGTTGATATAGTTATTTTTTTACTTTGATTTTCAAATATTCTGAAAAGGAATATATTGCAGTTATAATGAAAAACTGTTAGCAAATTTAAAAATTAGCTTATTGAATAAGTTTACATTGAGACAGTTGAAATGAGAGCGTTTAGTTAAATAAAATAATCTCTAAGGCAGTTGTGGGTCTCTTGCTTCTCTGTTCTCAAGTAGTTATGGGGTGGGGAAGGGGATATTTTGGGAATGTCTACAGAAAGAGCCTTCCCAATCTACCATGGAAGGAAGGGAGGGAGGAAAAGAAGCTGGTTGTCTTAGTCACTGAGCATCTGAGAACTGCACTGTCCCTGCCAATGACTCTCCCATGAGCATTTGAATCAATGGTCCTACGGGCCAGCTTTCTCCAGTTGCGGTTTTTATAGAGAGATGACGAAGTGGGGTTTGCCCATTTACTCTTTGCCTCAGAAGACTACATCCCAGTTTGTCTATTTCTTCATGAGCTCCAATCTTGTCGTCACAAAGGTGTCAACCATACCACCTCAAAATACCACTCCCAGCTCATACACACTGTTCATTCTCTCAAGCGAAGGTGTTAAGATTAGTATCAAAACTCAAACATTTCCTGCCAGAAGAGTTCACTCCAAGGCAGCATAGTGTGGATCTCTGATGTTAGCAGGTCACAGGGCAATTTATGCCATTCATTTATGGATCATCAAAGCTAGCACTTAGATGCACTCGCCACATCCCAAGCACTATATATATTCACTTAATTTTCATTAAGTCCGTACCTACTAGGATGTGCTATATTTGTCTCCACTTTATAGATGAGTAAATCGAGGCACAGAGACATTGAGGTCTCAGCCAATCTGATGGAACAGCAGAACTTTGGGTTAGAAGATAGCGGCCCAATGAGGGTTCGTCTTGGGGAGGGAGGGAGCCACTTCAGAGGCAGTAACCCCTCCTGGGGGGCTTCGGAGCGCTCAGGGTTGACAGTTCCCTCTACGTGCTCGTACCCCAGCCAGAGCAGGAAGATCTCCCTTGGGACGGTTCAGCAGTATAATTCGGGTGTCATTCAGGCCATGTAGCCTCCAAAACAAATTTCTGACCATCCTGGAGATTCTTCAAGTGACATCTATACATTCCTTTTTCGTTGATAAACTCTATAGTTGGTAAGCAAGAACTCTGACTTCTCTAACTGGAATCTGAATGTGACTGCCCCGGCTTGGAATGGTGTCCCCACAGAGCACATGTTCTGGGAGCGTCCTTCACCACATGCTCTCCCTCACTCCTAGCTCGAGGGCCCCTCACACTGCTCTTAGTTTTCAAAGCTTTTCTTCAGTGACCAACCCAGCTCGCTGTTTTTCCATCCAAACCTAACTCAGGGTGGTGCGTGGGTTTTATGTCCTCGCCAGCTTGGATCAATCAGTAGAGGCTGCCAAGGGTGCGGTGAGGGGGGCTAACGTCGGGCTTGGAGAACGTGGTCATCAATTACAGTTGTCTGCCGCAAGTGACCATCTCCAGGATGGTCAGAAATTTGTTTTGGAGGCTACAAGGCCTTCCAAGTACCAGGCTGTCTGACTTAACATCAAGAATTCTGGAAGAAAACACCTTGGCTAAACGAATTCATATGAAATTTTAAGTAATGCATGGTTCCCTAGGAGTATCTATAATTTAAGAGAGTGTGTCTTGCATTAGTTAGAACACTGGTTAAGTTGCTTTAACAAAAAGTAATCCAGAGGTTCCAATAAGAAGTTAATTTCTCTGGTATGTAATGGGACAGGGCAGTTACCACATTGCTTTCTCAGTAGCTTCAGGTGCTGTCTTCTGGTTTTGGAAACGATTGTCCCTAAATGTCCTGGAGGTTAGATACACCACCTTTACTCATACCCCATGCCACACCTGCCCCAAGGGAGCCTGGGAAGTGCAATCTTGCCCTGGATAGCAGGTGCCAACTTCCACTCACTAGAAGGAAACTGGGAGGTCTGGACTCTGGGAGTCACTTAGAAGTCCCTACCACATGCATTCTCCCAGTAGAGTTTTTAAAGCTCAATTTAGGGGAGTGGAACTTGTGGGATGAAGGGTTTCGGAACATGCATGCAGGCAATCTTGATTTGGCATTTCCTCTGACCTGCACCCGAGCAATTCCCCACTCTGCCCTTCGGATTGGGACACAGGTTTCTGCTAGTAC